GCTCTATTTTTCAGAGCAAAAAGACATCGACTGGATTAATAGTGTACTCTGTGCTAACTACCTCCTAGCTGCCGTAAACAAGTGCCTGAAACGCGGTGTCAAAGAAGTCGTCAAGGCTCTTCGCAAATCGCCCATTCCCGCCGCCAATGCTACTATCTCCATTCCCACTGGCGTCGTCATCCTTGCCGCCGACATTTCGCCTATGGACGTCATCTCACATATCCCCGTTCTCTGCGAAGATCACGGTATCCCATATGTTTTTGTCACATCGCGAGCCGAGCTGGGTAACTCGGCTGCTACCAAGCGCCCGACCAGTGTCGTCATGGTTGTGCCCAAATCAGCCTCCAAGGGCAAGAAGAAGGACGGCGAGTCGGAAGCCGACGGAGAGGATTTCAGCGAAGTCTATGAAGAGCTGGCCAAGCTCGTCCAGAAAGAGTCCAAGAAGGTGAACCTGTAAAGGTCTCTTCTTTCTTTCCGTTGCTCTCTTCTGTTTCTGCGGGTTTTATCTTAATGTCGGGGCTGTTGCCCTCTTTCGCTGCTGTCTCGTCAATTGCTCTGGCTGTACAGTTCCACGTTTTTGTCTGACAAGACAGTGCATGTCTTTGGGGTCTGGCCTTTGGGACGTGTTCATTTGGGTTGATCTTTCATGATATGTCCGTTGCAAATCTGGCGTTCGTAACTTGGTGTATGAAAAGGCAGGAAGTCTTTCTAAAAATGAAGCTCAACACGAAGTTGATATTGTTCGATCTACATATTGATATATAAACTGAATCATTGTACACTTTGAGAAAATGTTTGGAAGGACAGCAGAATCCATGACTGACTCTTGTTCTCCTGCTCGGGATACACACTACACTTCGTCTCTTGTATGTGTATCCCAGGCGAAACGCTCATTGCGCTTCTCAATGAGAGGTATGACACAGTTATCAATTCAAGAGCCATGGAAAGTTCCTTCTTGATTCCTGCCTTGCAGAGGACCCACCCGAGTCACTCAGGAGCTGGCAGACTGGCAACCATGGGGACATGAGACTCACTCACTATAAATGACCGAGAATCACGCTATCCATAATAGAAGTGCAAACGAAGATTCAGACGATCAGTCTGGATTACGAATTCTGACCTTACCTTGATGCTCAGTACCTGATGGACCATAGCAAGTCAGCGACTGTCAACTTATCCCGTGGACATGTCTGGGTGAGAAAGCTTGTCCGATATGATCCGGTGATAGTGGCTGAGGATCATGGGCCCTCGGGTTTGGATGGTCCCATCTTGCCTGACTGTGCCACGTCTGATATGTGATGACCTGGCCGTCCAAACTCCAAACGAGAAGTCTGCATCTTGCCAAGGCTTCCTCTCCAGCAGATGGTTCCTCCGATATTGGCCTTCCAACAGCTCACGAATGCAATCAACTACCCTTAGTGGTAATTGGCCTTGGTCAGTCTGAGTACCTTGACACATATCGAAGCGAATGACATATGTTATCGGAACTGCAACAACCTGCAACTAAGGCAGTCGTCTCGCCATGAAATTGACGAGACGAGGATATATACTAAGCTTGGTATGCCGGTCCTCAGCACTTCTTGAGGAACCGAACTGGAATCGCTGCAGTGAAGACAAGCTAGGCGGCGCTTCCATGGTGCAGATTTGACATATTGTTCAAAAGTCGAATCATTAAGAAACAAAGTCTAATAATCAAGAGAGACTAGCACAAAGCTTCAGATAAGAGAGACTCAATCGCGATCCTGCCACCTGGGCAAAGGTGGAGTTTCTGCCGGTTTGTTTGGCTGGATAGCTGAAATTACAAGGAAAAGATCCATTATAGGAGAAACATACAAGTAAAGTTACGATACGTCTAGCAACTCAGCATCTCCTCTTTTCCTACTTCCTTTCCATCCCTTGGTGACGCTGGGGAATGTGGGACCAAGCACTCCAAGTCGAATACTCAATCAGCAAGGGACATGCTCTATCGCCCATATAACTTTAAATCCTCCGGTAGTTTCAAAAGCATCCCTGAGTCAGATCGAGAGCATCGCGTAGATAGACTATGGGGGAATTCAAGGTGAGTTTAATGCAAGGGTCAACGGTCAATAAAGATCAATGGTTATTTATCACTGTCTCGGCCGTAGCCACAGATATATGGGAGTCGAGATCCCCATCAACAGTATCACACCTCAGTTAGATCACTACCAGTTAAGCGGCAAGAGTCAAACAATGATGCCATCCAAGTACTCCTTACTCATCGTCTCCTTCTGTTTATTGAACCTCATCTCTGCGTTCCCTTTGTATCTGTCCCACCCCAGCGGAAAGACAACCCGTTTCCACGAAGCAAAGGCACGTCCATGACAACCCATTCTTCAACCAATGTCTATTTCTAATTTGTGGTGAACTATAAAGAGCCAGGGAAAAGCCGCTATTACCACAGACACCCCATCGAACGTAGTATCTCCTTGCAAACTCCGGAAATTAACCTGCTGGCCTACAAGTTATCATGGCTCATTTATCTCGAGAAGACCGGTCGATAAAGGTAGTGGAGACGAGGGCTGGATATCTGCTGTTGAGTATACAACTTTGTATTCGGAGCGGCGGGGCGAGCAGTTGATGGCGTCTGTTATGATTATGTTGATTATGATGTGGTTAGCTGTGTTGGCGGTTGGGATCGTGGAAGGGATTGAGTTCGTGTTGGAGAGATGTGGATGGATAGGCGACTGTGAGGTCGATTGTCTGTGTGAGAGGTGTGATGAGGAGAAACTGGTTCTGAATGGGAGGGTTGAACCGCGTTGCTGTGATTGCTCTTTGGCCGGCGATAGAGACGAGGGATGTGCTTCTATTAAGGTATAACACGCATGTCCATGACCAAGTGTTTCATTTCAAGTTCTATGGTACATAATCATGCAAGTACAGACACAGTCCGCGCACAATGTAGGATTAACTAGTAGTCAACTTTTCGCTCATACGCCTTCCCCGTCATTGATATCATAAGTATTCGAGTTCGTCGTGATTAAGCTCTCTGATCACTTTCCAAAGGCTGATACCAGGTCTTATCGTCGACTCCCTTCTTCTCGACTGGGCCTCGGGCAGCATCAGCGGCTCCAGTATCTGCGGCCTTGCGCTGAGAGTAGTTTTCGGCGAAGCGGCCAGGGTCTTGGTCGCTGCCAATTTCGGAAGTGAAGCTGGCGTTATTGTTGGGGTCGCTATCGAAGCCACCCTCCTGCAGGTTGTTGCCCTTGGGTTTGGTGTGAGTATGCTGCCCGGTCACACTCTGGATGTACGAAGGGGCCTGGCCGCCATTGTACTGGCTGTGGTAACCACTTCCACTCGCCTCAGCGGGCTGGGACTGAGGCTGGGATTGGGATTGGGATTGAGATTGAGTCTGAGATCGGGTCTGAGGCCGAGAACTCTGCTGGGTGGTGGAATATTCGCCCTTGTTGATACCCAGTTCCCGCTTGGCAGCTGTCGAGCCGCCAGTGTAGCCAGTCTCTGGAACATGGGCACCAGGGAACTTCCCTTGGCCACCCATATTTTCAGGGTACTTCTCCTTTTTGTCCAGCTCCTCACGGGTGGCAGCGTCGGGGGCAGAGGACAGCTTAGTAGCGCTAGAGGTGTCCTTGTTATTGAATGTAGACTGGCTGCCAGAAACCCCAAGAGGTTCGGCACCGCGGTTCTGGTTGTAGTCACCACCGGACCTGGCTGATTCGGCAGCAAGGGAGTCGTTGGCGACAGGTCCAGAAGTCTCCTTGTTGGGATGTCTTCTAGCTTCGGGATCTGTTGTGACCTGCTCGAACACTTAGCCATATGTTTGGTATAGAGCTGGATTGCATTGCTTCACGTACCTTGGTGCTTCTCTGGCCGGGAGGGACGGGGTTGCCTTGGAGATCCATTATGATGTTCTTTGATCTGATCAAGAATTGATTGTTGGGAAGGGATATCGCTATGTGAGATGCGGTTGATTTCTGCGTCACTAGCCGACGTGTCTGTAGTCGAGCACAGTATGATGCGTCGATGGAAAGCTATATAGCAATGACCGCTGATGTTGTAGTCCTGAATGCTAGCTCATCCAGCCAGGTGATGTCACTCTGACGGTACGAACCCCCCGCCCCAAGACGCTCAGATTCCCAGCAAGCGACATCAGAGAGAATAGGTGCGTCAATGAACCAACACCACTGCCCTTGAGTGGCGTGGGCAACAGAAGACCGAGTGGAGAAAGAATGATAGTCACGGAGCCCCAGTACTAGAAGACATTTGCTGCAATATGTTGCAATCACCCTTAGGTTTCCAGACCGAACCTCCGCCCTCGATCAAATTAGATCGATGACACGGCTCTATCCTTGCAGGGCACGAATCGACATGTCGAGCTCTCCAATGCTCAACTGCCCGGTTCGGAGGTCAACCCTGATTGCGCAATGAAGTGTCGTTCGACGGTCGATGCTGGGGAATCTAGAGCTGATCAACTTGTTTGACGTCATGGCCTCAGGCCATCAAGGTATACTGGAACTTTGGATGTTCTCGGCCAAACACCGACCGCAGAGATCAGATGAAACTCCATGGTAGAATGCCCACAGAAATCGAATGGTTATTTCTCATTTAGTGTGTCGCAGTTTATCTCTGGTACATGCAAGTGCAATGCACTACTACTGTTCGATGATGGAGGACGTTCATTTAAGCTTGTACATTATAAGTCATGTGACATGTCAACGTGTACATATCTGGACGCTAGTACATCTCAAATCTATACGGAAATTCAATTCGGTGATTGGCTCCACACTAAGAGCAGATCTTATTGTCAGTATCATCAAGCTTTTATACTTCTCTTCGGCTGTTCCGTGCTCTTCGTGAAACTTCCGCAGGCTCTACCCGGGCAAATACAACTCTTGTCGTCTATGTACTTGACTGCAAGCTGGGACACTAGAAGACTTTTTTATTTGTTTGGTATGGATTATCATTAAATGCTTTGATCGCTCATCACAAAGTTGTATCAATACATTCATCAAGCGAAAAAGAAATTATTTCCGAGCCTTAGCATCCCCCGGGATATCCGAAAGTCCTTCCGTGGCTTGGCGACCAACCTTGCCTGTGGGCTGAGTTTCCTTGTGCAATTCCTCTCCTGACTTCCGTGCGCTGCTTTCTGCAGTAGCGGGCCCCCTTAGAGCGGTGTTACTCTCGCCGGAGACGGATCCTTGTACGCCGCCGGAGCCGACGTTGACAGCTCTCTGGTCTGCAGACTGCCAGTCGCTGGCGACGGGAGGCTGGTCTGGCAAAGGCAGGTTGGCCTTGCGTTCTTCGATGGCCTTGGCCTTGTCTGTGTGCTCATCGACGATGGACTGATTCGTAGAGTTAGCAGCTGTGTCACCAAGTTGATTTGCCTCTAGGCCAGGAAGTTTGGTCTTACCTTCATAGCAGAGACATTGGAATTGGCAGGTGTGTTTCCACCGGCGGCATGAGAAGCATGGGATTCGGGCTTGCGAAGGTCCTGTTGGGTCTTGTAGAAGGTTTCGCTAGACATCTTGGGGAGGAGTGTTGGGTATATGAGATAGGAAAAAGTACAGGTAGTAGATTGACTTGGATGTGATGCGAATAAAGCTCTCTCGAGTAAGTCTTTAAAGTTTGAACGTTGATGGAGTTCCTAAACGTATGCAAAGAGGAGATTTCAACGCTGTTATATGTTGGAGCTGTCGTGACTGGAGACCGTCATCGTCCTGGCAAGGATGGTGAGTTTTGCCATTATGACGACATACTATCCGCGCAGGCCTTGGTTTACATGTTCACCGCACCCAGACTTCCATCAACCCACCATAGGAGAGATTTCTGCTGCCAAGGACAAGATGAGTGGCTAAGGTGGGCTTCAGTGAATCATAGGCAGCCTTCATAGAGACCTGCTCAACGTTGATTTCGGGTATTGCGCCGGGGTATGTTCACTCTACTCCACATCCTCAATATCGCCTCATGTTTGCATGCCTGCAGCACCATTGAAGACCGAAGATGTCATAGTACAGAGGTCAGTGGTCCCTTAACTGAATTCGCTCTGTTTCTTTATCCTTCTTGCAACTTTTCTGGGCTCGTCAGTCATGAAGTAGTCGTCATAAAAATCTGCAAGAATCATAGGCTGGGGATAGCGTCTATGCTGGCCTGCGATACCCCTGGATAAGTGGAATATCCAATAAAAATGGCAGAAGTTTATTTCCGGGTGATTCCTTAGAGTAGCAGCTTCAATGTCAGGGCGGTGCATCAACCTGGCATTTCTGGACCAGGAGCAATTCTCGTGATGCCAGCTTGAAATGTACTGCGGTACAAATGAGTGTGTTTGAAAGGCAGAACACAACATGGTAACTAAGATACTTCGACGTTGGGCCATACAAGGTAAAATGGCAGTGTAGGCCTTTCTTCCTCATCCTACAATGGCTCTACGATACTGAGCCTTTTACTCCGTACTGAGCACGCGATTGCAAGATATCACAATTTCGGGGGTTTACACCGCCTGCCGGATATAAACGGCAGAATCGGAAATGTCCCCGCTGGGTTAGATGCGAACTTTTTTGGTCTGTATGAGTTGGACGACTATAGACAGCGATTTTGCTTTTGTCTTTTGCATATACCTAGAGCCACAGGTGAACTGTTATTATGCCAAGAGACCCCTTGATCGGCCTGGTTGGAAAGGTTGGTTCCTGCTGTCATGTCAGAAGATAATGCCGCTGATTGAGTTGAGGGGCATTTAGCCTTCCAGCGGAAAATCCACCACGCTGAACAGTCTGACAGATGCCAGTTCGAAAGTTGGTGAGTTGTTGATAACCTGAATATTACTCGTACACTTCTGACCAGTGCCTTCTTTTTGCAGGCAACTTCCCGTGAGTAGCCCGAAACACCGTCTTCTGCCTTTCCTTCCTTCGTCGCCCGAAAGTTTCCACAAGATAACCGCATACGATGCGCTTTCAGGACAATTCTGACTCTCGACGTACAGATTCACAACTATTGACCCTCAGCGCGCCATTGGATATCTTCAAATAGAGTGTGCCTGCAAACGCTTCAACGTTTCAGACAAATGCAAGCCGAATTACGGTAGTTGCGTTGACGGCCGCCGTTCCGTCCCTATCGAGCTTTTAGATGTCGCGGGTCTCGTCCCTGGAGCACACCAGGGTCGCGGTTTAGGGAACAAGTTCTTAGATGACCTACGTCATGCGGATGCTTTGATTCACGTGGTGGATGTTAGTGGAACAACTGACGCAGAAGGTCAGCAATCGTATTCTGCGTTTACCTCTTATCTCTCAATATCAGCTAAAATGAATTGCGTCCTTAGGAAAGGCAACGCGCGGCTATGATCCATCGGTAGACATTGAGTGGCTACGGTCTGAGATTGTGCGATGGGTCTTGGGCAATCTGATGCAAAAATGGTACGATACGATCAAGGGTAACCCTGGGACTTTTTTGTGTTTCTCCCACGATGCTTACGGTCATACGCAGGGGCTCTATCAAGAGAAGACATGTTGCGACAAGTCAGTCAATGCGGTGTTCCCGCAAACCTATCGAAGTGTATTGACTGTGGATGCAGAATCGACGGCAGTGGATACATTACAAGGCCAATTTTCCGGATACGGAAGCACATCGGCGACAGTTGCGCGCTGTCTGGATAGAATCGGTCTGAAAGAACCTCTAGAGGAATGGTCGGACGAGACGATTGAGCGGGTAGTCCAAGCTTTCATCGATGAAAAGTTTCCTACCGTTTTCGCACTGAACAAGATTGACCATCCTGACGCGGACAAGGTTGGTTCCTTCTTCTACTCCTCGAATCATGCTGGAATTCGTGCTGAAGGAAATAACCTAGAATATCAGCAAGATCGCCAAGATGCAAGATCCAAAGTCAATAGTGTTATGCTCCGCGATATCAGAGGTGTTTCTTCGAAGATTGGCGAAACAGGGTTACATCAAGTATACAGAAGGCAGTGAGTTCTTGGATACACGAGAAGATCTCATAGAGATGGGCGATCCAGATGGTGGCGGTCTAAAAGAGATGGACGAGAAGTTGAAGAAGTAAGTATGTCCAGCTGAGACAAGAAAACCTGATTAACCTCGTCTAGCCGTGTTGAGAACCTGAAAGACATGGTTCTCTATCGCTTTGGTTCCACTGGAGTGGTGCAGTGTCTCTCGCGAGCAGCGGAACTCTTGGGACTTGTGCCGGTTTTCCCAGTCAAGAACGTGCACACATTTTCGTCTGGAGCCGGAAATGCGGTGTTCAGAGATTGTGTTTTGGTTAAAAAGTGGGTTTTATTGCGATCGGGCACCAATGAAGTATATGACTAACATCCAACAGAGGAAGCACGGTAGCCGACGTTGCCCACAAGGTTATGGGTGACGTTCCCATCTCTTACATTGAGGGTGTTGGCGGCACCCGAGTGTCTGAGGATGAAATAGTTGAAGTAGGGAAGCATGATGTGAGTTGCTCCTCGTAGTCGAGCTTTTTCTTCGCTTGCTAAGAATATCTTTGCAGGTCCTTTCGTTCAAACCTGGCCGATAGACCAGAAATATCATTCCATCTATGTACAGTCGATATAGGGCAATTTCTGTAACGAGACAACCACACGCCATGAATAATACAACGACAAACCGAAGGTCACGAACTCATGCAAAACTAGTTGCCTCAAGTGGTCAATCGGGGCGATCAAGTACCCTTCTATAGACCATGAACACGTTAGCCAGGTGAAATATTACTGACGATAACAGTCTCCTGTGGGAAGGGACAGGGAGCACTCACCTCAGCTCTTTCATCATTCATACCGATTATCGGTTCAGGCGCCTTAGGGTGTTCCTTTTTAGCTTGACGCTCCTGCTTGAGACCTTCCCTCTCCGTCACCGCTCCCTGCTTGGATCCATCTGCGACACCCGCGCTTTCTTTTTTCTCCTTCAGCCCAGAAGCGGAAGATTCTGTCTGAGGATCTGTTATATCCCGTTTGTCCTTCGATCTTTCCACCGCATGGTCGTCGGTTGAAGAACCCTTCCATTCTTGGCCTAGAGAGCTGTTGAAGCGGGCTCTCACATTGCCAGGTGTGGGAAGCCTGGCAGGTTGCCAGACAGATTGAAGCGGAAGAAGAGTCACGCGTGGAGGGCGCGGAATGAGCATGCTTTGGAGCTTTGAAGTTGTAGTCGGGAGGCGAGGGCTGCTAGGCATGTTGGACTGCGGTCGTCAGTGTTAGTTGTTCAGTGGTAAATTAGTGCTTCTTAGGTCGTAGACAATCGGTACAAGTACAATGGTTCGTTTAAGTAAGGTTCTCCCAGGACGTCAACTTCCTTCGAGCCGCGGAAGGCCGCAGCCAAAGCAAGGCCTATATCGAGACGAGATGTCCTATGACGTCTAAATGCTGCAATGGTATGGACCAATTAAGATTATAGGGCTTAGGGTTAAGCTTCCCCGTCTTATCGATAAGGAAATGGCAGAGCGGGGGAGCTCCCAGCTCGCGCGAAGCATGACAATTTGGTTTCCCTGTACCTCTCTAATTGCGGCAGCTCTGTCTAACAGTCGAAATTGTCCCAGCGACGGAACAATATGCGACGCGACTATTTACCTATTGAGGCTCTGTCTACCTGGGCAAAGCTCAATGGCATGTCCCTAGAGGGAATCGCTTTCCAGAAGCTCCATGGCGAACACGGGACAGACAAGGGCACCGCGATCGTAGCGACAGCGGAGAAAAAGGACGAAGACGCTGAAGCAGACACTCTTCTCACGGTTCCATCCGACCTGGCACTGACTCTCGAGTACGTTCACAACCATGCAAAAACTGATCGCCATCTTCGGGAGGTCCTAGATGCTGTTGGCGACTTTGGCAGGGTATGTTACAGGTCACGATCACTATAGATCGGATTTTCTCACTTGTCGCATAAGTCCTCGAGCTAATATATACAGACAGCTAGAGGCGCGATTTTAATCTTTTTAATTGTCCAAATCACGCATGCAAGTCCGGACTTCGCCAACCAACGCCAGAAGATCGGGGTCTCGAACCCTTGGACAGAGTACATCAGGTTTATGCCGGCCTCTATACCTCTACCGACATTTTACTCAGCAGAAGAGCGCGAGCTGTTACGCGGGACATCGTTGCAGACTGCAGTCGACGCGAAACTTGGTTCTCTTGAAAAAGAATTCGAGCACCTCCGCCAAGCTACGGAGGACATACACTGGTGTCAGGAGCATTGGTGGGATGAGGATACAGGGAAATTCACATTCGACGACTTGAAGTATGTCGACGCTGTGTATCGGTCACGAGTGGTTGATCTTCCCAGGAGTGGACATGCAATTGTGCCATGTGTAGATATGGCAAACCATGCCTGTGAGGACTTGGTGAAAGCCAGGTACGATGAGGATGGAGCCGGAAACGCTGTACTCCAGCTTCGAACTGGGAAGAAGCTACGTGTTGGCGAGGAAGTTACTATATCGTAAGTCTTGAAGATGACACCCTGCGATAAGGAGATGCATGCTGATGCGGTGGCATGGAGGTATGGTGATGAGAAACCAGCCTCGGAGATGGTATTCTCCTACGGTTTCGTTGAAAACGAGAGGACGGACGCGAAGCAGATTTTCCTCGACCTGGAAATTCCCGATGATGATCCTTTGAAAATGGCCAAGCAAGTATTCTGCAAGGAGGTTCCTGGGGTACGGATCACCAGAGCTACTACAGCATGTCCGGAGCGGGGCAAAACGACATGGGATAGCCCCTTTGTATGGTGGGCTTGTGTAAACGAGGAAGACGGCCTCAATTTCGACGTGGTGCAAACCACTGATGGGGGCAAAGAACTAAGAGCTACCTGGAAAGGAGAGGACATGGGAACGCCCAGCCGCCTCAAGGATTTGCTAGCAGCGGACCCTTTATGGGCTATTTTCCAGCTTCGTGCAGTTGTGCTCATACTCGAGCGGCTTGAGACTCAACTGGTGATCCTACGGGAGACCGAAAAGCTAGTTGCCGAAATAAGCAATGACGAGGACATGCGAGCGCTCTTTCGAACTGATGTTTTGAATACGATATCTAGCTTGCGGAGGCTAGAAGCTGAATTGTTGCAGTGGAGTATCGAGGACCTAATGTGTAGGGTAAGTGTTGATCCTATGCCCGCTGACGTTTGCGAGTGCACTAACCACTATTTTATCGTGCAGCGACAGGAACTGATAACATCTGAGACGGTCACTGCGTACCTCAACCAGCAGTCGGATGACGTAGAAGAGGATTTTTCATAATGATACTCCGATTGGGTTTGTAACATTGGCGCAGTCCAACTACGTGAAAGTATATGAGGTTAATCGTTCAGGTGTGCATCAATTCATCACTATATGGTTCATTAGCTGTACCGGTAGTCCAACTGGAAGTCCAGTCCCCTAAAGATGTCTAGTAATATGATTTCGAGGATATCTCTACTACTCTTCCCATCCCCAAGTCAAAATACCCCCAATGGGAGACTCATAATACCCAGTGAATTACGGAAGAAGCACGAACCAGCCATACTCGATTCTTCTTCTAACATTTATTGAGCCATTCATTGGTGGGGTATGAGTCATGACTCTGGGGTAGAAGGACGGGGAAAGACCGGGACTGGGGAGGAAGCTTCGGGATCTGCACCACAGTTTCGGGCTCCTGTGGAATGTCTGGTTCTGTTAGATTCTGGTCCGATGTCGACATTCGGAATAGGTAGGAGTCTTGGTGGCTTGAACACGAGTCACCAAACTCTGTTTGGTCGTTTCATCCAAATAAGGTATGAGTTGGCCATTGAAGACACCAGTGGATGACGTCGTTGTATATCCACTAGGGGACCCGGGCTTCTTTGCCGCGCGCACGCTAAGAGAGCCTGGAAAGGACGCCGAGCCTATGAAGTGTGATTATGGCCTGGTGTAATCGTGTCCTCCGTGCGCTTCCAGAAAGTTGACTAGAAGGACTGGGGTCATCGGGGTAGAAATGGGCTTTCGCCCGCCACGAGGGAATCGTGCCATGCGCGGTAGTCTATCCGATAACGGCAGATTCAGAGAGGGGGTAGGCTACATGCCTAGCCGCCTAGCATCATGATATTTCTATTGTTGCTCGGCTAGTATCTATGATCAGCTGCCGCGATACTCGCCGTGTGCACTTGCACCAGTGACTAAATTGGATAATGGGCATCCCTGCGGAGTTTAGCAACTTCAGAACACCTGGAGATCTTCAAACGTGGGCCACCTACTTCTGGTCGTCATCTCCACAGAGCTCATATTCTTGATCAAATTAGTTTGTCCATTTCATGGTTGGTGGAGCCGGGTCAAGGCGGATCCCAATATTGAATGTCTCGCCTCCACCGTCGCGGTTTTCTCGGTCAACACTCGGCACGCAAAAATTAGACTCCTCCCAAGGGGAGAAACGATTACCCCATGTTCATGGTCATGTAAAATTCACAAATTTTTGAAAAAGATCTGTGACCACTGCTTATCGCATGACTGAAGTTTTAGCGTTGGCACGATGTCTTCTGATCTTATTGGATTTTAGGACAGCAATGGGCAATCTCGTATTGGGCATTCGATGGTATCCACGGGGATCCCCCGCGATTTTCCCCAGCTGCGAACAGACGGGGCACGAAAGTGGCAAGCTAACTTTAACAGTAAAATGGTTGGTTCCGAATCTTCCCTCCCAGCAAAATACCGTAGTCAGTCAAATGCCGGCCAGGACTCGGGGGCGATCCATTTTTAATGTTTTTGTATCCGTACCTGCTGCTCGTATTATTTAGAGGAAGCCTTTGTGCCCAAATCAATGATTATCTGGCGAGGAATTTTCGTGATCCTTCGGGCTGTAAGAGTTCTAGGGAATAATTCGGCGGGATCAGCCGTAGATAATCTCCTCATGGCTGCAAAAACACAAACACTTGTGGGTGGTGAGAGGCTTACTCGGTCATGACATCCTCGTGTCAAGCCTCCAGCTTTGAGTTTGAAACTCTCTAGTCCCATGAAAGCATCGCAAGGCCAGGATTGCGGAGAGCTCTTTCCATGGAATGGGCTGAATTTCTGTAGTTGTTCCTTGTGTTCTATGTGACATGTCAACGGGCGGCTGATGCTCTACTTAACAGAACTAGAGAAAGAGTCATTGGAGGATAATAGACGATCATCTGTATTTGTATTTGCACATCGGTCCATTCTTGCCTAAAGGGAGACTATTGCTGGAACTATGGGTTTTAGCGGCTTTGCAATACTCATAGTCTGACGGACTCGAGGCATACGTACCTTGAAAGATTAGGCTTCGCATCATAAGCATACATCTGATGGAGAAATCATGCAAAGGGTCTGCACGGCAGACGCCCAGATAACGGGAGTACATCTATCTAGAGTGTCTCCCCCAGATTCGCCTCCACAAAAGTTGTCGTTTCTCTGTTTCCATGATGGAAAGATGATCGCTGCATGACGGTGAACCAGATTTGTATCCAAACAGAGGCGTGAAATGCCAATAACCAAGATCCTCTTCAAAAGTCAGCAATTAATCTCCAGTCCTCAACGATCGTACTGGATAGAACCACATCGAGCACGCGTAATCGTAATACAGTATTGACTAACCCGCGGTTGCATCTTCGGTGTCCGCTGAGCAAGTGAAATGCAGTAAAACATCCATTACTATTGGCTATGTGGCTTAAGAGCAACTCCACATGGCTGCCTCACACGCTCCAGGAAATGCGTGATGCCAACTTTCATGTACTGCTGTAATTCTTTCTCTCAATAATACTCGGTCCATTCGGTAGTCAAAAGTTATTACTTTTCCCACTTTATCCCCAAACAGGCTCGATCCCCCGTTTGTCTTGCTCCTCGCCTCCTGTCTTCGTCTTACTACCGCCTCTACTCCTCTTTCTCTTAATATCGTTACTTCTCAGACATCTACGCAGACAGTCTGTTCTCCACTCTTCTAACATCTCGAATGCGAGACAACTATCACGCCTTCAGTACCTGGATCGTCGCCTAACCTTGCGGAGTACTATACACAGCTATCATCCGGGCCCTGCACTTGTTTGGCGTGAACCACCACTTCGAGAACAAGTATAATCATCGGCGGCAGATGCGTTAAGAGCATCCAGCCAAAATGCCTGGAATTCTCCCCATGAAAGTGATCAAGGTCGGCAACGGCTCGCAAAGCCGTATAGCCCAGGCCTGCGATCGGTGCAGAAGCAAAAAGATTCGTTGCGATGGAATTCGACCGTGTTGTACACAGTGCGCAAATGTCGGTTTCGAGTGCAAGACAAGCGACAAGCTTAGCCGTCGAGCGTTTCCTCGAGGATACACGGAATCATTGGAGGAACGAGTGCGGACTTTGGAGGCGGAAGTGAGAGATTTGAAGAATCTATTAGACGAAAAGGACGAGAAGATCGATGTGCTGTCACGTATACACTCTTTTTCGCCAGCTTCGCAACAAAGAGTTCAGGCTGCGTCTCAATCACCGTCCTCTACTGAGTCTGCTCGCCCCAAGCTGTCCGAGGCTGCCGAAGAAGCCATTCAGATCCCGGAAGTATCATCTTCAACTGAGTCGCTGGATAGTCTGTGTGTCGGTCTTTCGAGTGCTCGCGGGTTTTTAGGTATGATACCTACAGCGGGTATGGTACCGGAATGCCCTGCTAATCTTGTCTAGACGTTTTCACAAAAGGACTCAAAGAGCAGGGTCGGCCTCTTTCTGTCATTTCCACTCAGGCTTTGACAGCCTCGCCTCCGGCCATCTCTCATGCTCGCATTGATCAAGCCATTAAAACCGCCCCACGACTAGTCTCTGACCAGCTCATCAATATCTTTTTCCAAGAATGGGCGCCTCTATACCCCGTCGTCCATCGGCCGACCATACTCAAAGCTTATGAAAAGTATCTATCGAACACAGAGTCTCTGCAGGGCAGTACACATGACATGGTGCAACTGAACCTGATTTTCGGAATTGCTGCTCTTGCTTCTATTGTAAGAAATTGTGTTTGGATTTGCATTTAGAGACAGACTTGGAGAACTAACAGGAGGTTTAGTCACGAACCAACCAGGATCCCACATTCTTTGAAGACAACTGGTCGTCAACACTCGAGTCTCTGTCAAACAGTATCTCTATCTCGACATTGCAGTGCTACGTCCTTGCTCAGATGTATTGCATGACCAAGGGGGACTACACAGGTCTTCTCCGCTACCGCGGCCTCGCCGTTGGCCTTTGCCATCAACTAAGGCTCCACCAGAGCCAGAAGCGATTCTCTTCCAACCCGCTCGTTGCCGAGACTCGTAAGAAGGTGTTTTGGTGTCAATACGTCCTTGACCGGTTAGTTCCCCGTCTCTCTTCGATCGTTTGAGAACTTGAGGAATGTTTTACTCACGTGGCCCCAGTCTTACGGCTGCTTTGACTGGACTGCCAGTCCTCCTACGCGAAGAGGATGTCCGTACTGAATACCCGGAGGACGTTGACGATGAGAATGTCACGGAGACCGACTTCTTGCCGACTTTGCCGGGGGAGTCGACTCGCATTTCGAGCGCCCTTGCACTATTCGGAGCATCTCGGGTTCTGAACAAGGCTCTGGAGTATATTTTCCCTTCGGACGGTGGTTATGAGGTATTGGTGTCGAAGATGCGCTCGGTTGCCGAGCAATTGGACACATGGGTAAAGACACTGCCTGCTCACCTGCGCCTCGAATTCTCTCAGGACAAACCAAGTACAAACATCACAAGCAGCCGGTCACCCCTTCTTGTAAGTTGTTTGGGCCGTCGCTCCCAACGACTGTGCAGTACGCTAACATCCGTTTTACTTAGTCTTTGGTTTATTACTATATCCGTTCTCTCATCCATCGCCCCGCTGTCTGCTTTGGCGAAGAGCATATTCGGTCTCCATCGATTCTGGCTACTTTTGACTCGTGCAAGCATATTATTCAGATTCTCCAACTGCTTGACGAAAGGCGTCTTTGTCTCTCGATAAGTATCAACCGGAAAGAGCTGGTGTTCACGTCTGGTTTGGGGCTTCTGTGGCAAAACACGGGCTTGAAACGCGAAAGCAAGCTCCTCAAGGAGTGCCAGAAGTTGCTTACCGCGGTTATTGATCAACTCGAGCCCGAGTCGGCTCGAGCAGCAGCAGAGTTCAGCTCGGTAGCCAGCCTGTTGGTTTCCTTCGACAGTGACAAGCGCGGGACCTCCGTCAAGAACCAGTCCATGTCCCCACCTGCACAGAAGCCGCTTAAGTCACCCAAGAAGCAGCTGCAGTCTCTGAAATCACGGTTAGCTAGCGATGA